AAAATATTTGGGGAATGGATCTGTCATCCCTCAGAGCCCATCTCAGACAGCAGTGTGTATTTGTAAAGGTTCTGAGTGTGAATTTATTCATTTGTTGATAGACACCTGAGAGTGAGAGTACGGGTACCATGAATTAATGCTTTTATTGCAAATAAGCAATTCAATGCATAATTATTGTTGACCATTGTTAGTGGATACAACTAAATTGGTATTACGTGGGAGAAAGTATGTTTTAAATGTGACAAAATTTGGGTTACAAGTATGAACTTTAGGACTAAAAATAAAATGCTACTGATTATATGTGGTATGAGTATGACATGTTTTTTGGCTGGAAACTTTACACCAAAAAAAACTATAGAAAATACAAACTACATACTTTGTGTAATGTCCTGGCACTTGCTTCTGAGATTTGTATTGTTGATGCATTCTTTACTTGTTTGCTTAACTGCCACAGATGTAGAAATAGCTTTACTGTGGCTTAGTTTTCTCGTCAACCATCCTAAACAAACAGAATGGTTTTTTACTTTACATCCGCTGACCATTTTTCAGTGTTTTACATGTATCCACAACTACCAGTGCTTTCATGATGAGAAACTCAGTCTTCTCAGCAACACCAAAATAATAAATATTTCTCAGTACAGATGAAAATGTGAACAATTTTATAAATATTTCAGTAATGTTCCTGCTAAAATAATAAAAGCTAAGGCAAACTTCTGATCCTTCTGTTTCTTTATTTCTGTTTTGAAGCTACTCAAACATCTAACAACAAAATATAAATTTTCTAATCTTATTATTTTCTTACCTACCATATAGTATGTGACAGTTTAAATAAGAATGTCTTTAAATGATACTTCCTAGTTCATAGTCTATCAAGTGTGAAGTTGCAGAGCATAAAACACTTTTCTCACATTCATATTTAATCAAGTGTTCTGTATCACTATAATAAAGATATCATTACAAGTGTTGTTGTGTGGTAAATCTACAAGTGTTGTTGTGTGGTAAAATCTTAAGGAAAGAAATAAACTTTGGGAATGGCCAAAATTATAAATATATATTTACGAGGAAGAGAGAATATGGATACTTACTCTGTAAACTTCCAAAGTCTCATTAGGCTATACATACTGTCATGAATACACGAGATAACTAAGTAATGACTGAAACAAATCTGACACTTCTATCAGTTTTACTTTTATGGCCACACATGTAAATTAACAAATTAGAGTACTGTAATATATACACAAGGCATCAAAAACTGTATGCTATAGTGCTACCATTAATGAATATACATTTATAAACATAGAACATGGGTGCTACTATAGTGTGTGGTCTACAAATATATTTACACTATAGTGTGCGGTCTACAAAGATACTATTGTTGCGTCAGCGAGGTCATGTGACTAGTATCACGCCACTCCTTCTCGAACCTTCATGAATTATCGGGAGACTACTAGATTGGGGGTAGTCTGGTATACATAAGACGCTCACAACGTGACGCAACAAGGTAATGAGTAATTGAATGTATGCGGACAAAATATTGTTGGCCACGTGAGATGTGAATTATAGTGTTTGTTATAG